GCTGGGTGCAGTGGCTCATGCCTGTAATCCCTGCACTTTGGGAGGCTGAGGCGGGTAGATCATCTGAGGTCAGGAGTTTGAGACCAGCCTGGCCAACATGATGAAGCCCCGTCTCTACTAAAAATATAAAAAAATTAGCTGGGCATGGTGGTGAGCACCTGTAATCCCAGCTACTTGGGAGGTTGAGGCAGGGGAGTTGCTTGAACCCAAAAGGTGGAGGTTGCAAGGAACCGATATCATGCCACTGTACTCCAGCCTGGGCAATAAGAGCGAAGCTCCATCTCAATTAATTAATTAATTAATTAATTAAACAATAACAATGTCAGTTTTTGAGACACATAGATTTAGTGAAAATATGCAATCCAATACTCTGAAGAAATAAATTCATATAACATGCAAATTTCTCTTTCACATAGGTCACATGTGTCTAGATAATATGTGGGAATGCTGCATGTTAGCTTTTGAATTTTACCTTCTTCATAACACCTATTTCTATGCTCTAAGCTTCTCACGGTCTCCTGGAACCCAGTCTCTGGATATGCCACACCTGTCTGACATACAGAAGAATTAAACATTCCAACATCTCGCCCTCCTACGGAACTGTTCGTCATCCTATTCTTCCATTAATTTTAACATTCACACTATAATCTGTTTATGTTTCATGTGAGCCCTGATTGAACTAAGTGAAACAGATAAAAGGTCCTAAAGATAGGATTTCCAAGTGGCATAATTTTTGAGGTTTTACTCATATCTCAATTCTGTATCGGACTTATGGGGAACTCACTGCTCTTCCTGTTACATATGTATACCTTCTTAATTGGACCACACCTAAAGAAACCCATAGATTTGATTGTCATACACTTGGCAGTGGTCAATGTTTTGGCCATCACGTTCAAGTTGATAGTAGATACCATGTCATCCTTTGGAGTGAGACGTTTTATGAGTGAGGTTGGTTGTAAAGTAACTTTGTACATATACAGAGTTTCCCGGGGTCTTTCCCTCTGCACGACCTCTCTCCTGAGTACGTTTCAAGCCATCACCATCAGCCCCATTCATTCTAAATGCGCTTGGCTGAGATCTAAAATCACCACATATGTCTTTTCTTCACTCCTTTTCGTCTGGATTATCAACATGCTGATCTACATTCGAATCATCATTAGCCTAGGAGCCAATGCTAATTTCACTATTGCTGGATTTGGATATTATCAAGTATACTGTCAAAGTAACCAAGATCAACACCCCCATTCAATGGCATTTATCAGTGTCATGGTGATTCGAGATCTCCTGTTCGTGGTTCTCATGGTTGGGACTGGCATCTACTTGGTGAGTTTTCTCCACAGACACCACAGGAGGGCCCAGCATCTGCGCAGCCCCAGCCTCTCTTCCCAGCCATCTCCTGAAATCAAAGCCATCCACACCATCCTTCTGCTGGTCGGTGGCTTTGTGTTCTTTTATTGCTCAAGCAACTGTTTTATCATTTATTTGGCTTATGGGCCTGAGAAAAACAAGAGACTGGAGAGTATTGCTGGAAGTATTTCATCATGCTACCCAACTGTCTGCCCTTTTGTACTTATGAAAAATAATATAATTCTTTCCAAATTGACTTTATCCCTTTCAAAGATGAGAATTACCTCCCCTCAAAGAGCATCCAGTGGCTGATCTGATGTCCCACAACTTTCTTCTGCAGCAGAGAATATCTCCATAGTGATTTAACTGAGCACAATGCCATGGCATTAGAAACGTTTTTAGATCAGTTTTGCATCTCTCATTTTTTTAAGGTTAAACATTGAAAAAGCATTAGCAATCCTTACCCATCTAACATATTATTTCAAGGTACAGCAACAATTTTCACAGAAAAAGACATGTTGAAAAGTGCATTAAGGATTAGACCCCAAGTTAGAAACTTCCCAAACTCCCATCAACAATAGAATGAACAAAATAAATTGTGGTACATTCACACAATGAAATACTATACATAACCGTGAATCTCAGGAACATCATGCTGTGTAAAGGAATACAGACACAAAGGTGTTGGTATAATATCTAATTTATAAGCAGTATAAAAACAAGTGAAAAAAAAAAACTACTTTATAAGGTCTGATTTACCACTTGTTACATTTTGGGCTTTGCCTCTGATGTCACGTCTAACTCTGGGTCATGAAGATTTTCTCCTATGTTTTCTTCTCAAAGTTTATAGCATTCTGTTTCGTATTTGGATCTCGGATTCATTTTGAATTAGCATTTTACGAGGTGTGAAGTTTAGGCCGATGTTACTATGCAGCATTATTTATTGAGAAAATATCCTTTCTTCATTTAGTTTGCACAATCGCCAAAATGAAAATCACTGGTTATATTTGTATGGGTCCATTTCTGGATTCTCTATGCTGTACCATTCGATCGATCTTTCTCCATACTGTATTTATTACTGTATCTGAATAGTAAGTATTAAAATGAGGGAGTGAAATTCTTCCAGCTTTATTATACTTTGGTTGCTTTGCCACTCCATACAAATTTTAGAATCAGTTTGTCTATATCTACCGAACGTATTGCTGGAATTTTAGTTGTGACTGTTTTAAACCTTTAGTTCAGTTTGAAGAGAACAGACATCTTCACCACATTTATTCTTCCCAACCGTAAACACAGTATGTCTTTCCATATCCATAGGTCTTTGATTTCTTTCCTTAGCCTTTTGTAATTTTCAGCAATATATCCTGTATATATTTTATTTATGTCTATGCTTTCTTTTCATGGGGAGTTATTATAAGCGGTATTTCCAGTTTTTAGTGTTCAGTAGTACTTTGCTGCTCTACTGAAGTACACGTAATTTCTGTGTGTTGATCTTGTATTCTGTGATCCTGCTCAGTCTTGTTTGTTAGCTCTGGTAGTTTCTTTTGGCTTGCTTTTTATATTTATAGAGACAGAGTCTTGCTATGTTACTCAGGTTGGTCTCAAACTGCTGTCCTCTAAAGATCCTCCTGCCTCGGCCTCCAAAGTGCTGAGATTACAAGTATGTGGCACTGTACCCAGCCAGCTCTAGTTTTTTGTTGTTGTTGTTTGTTTTTTTAAATTTTGGCATATTTCGTGATGTCTGCAAATAAACACAATTTCTTCTTTTCCAAACTGCATGACTTTTATTTCCTTCTCTCTCTCTGTCTTTCTCATTATTATTATTATTATTATTATTATTATTATTATACTTTCAGTTCTGGGACACAGGTGCAGAACATGCAGGTTTGTTACATAGGTATTCACATGCCATGGTGGTTTGCTGCAGCCATCAACCCATCATCTACATTAGGTATTTCTCCTAATGCTGTCACTCCCCTAGCCTCCCACCCTGCAACAGGCTTCGGTGTGTGATGTTCCTTTCACTGTGTCCATGTGTTCTCATTGTTCAACTCCCACTTATAAGTGAGAACACGCAGTGTTTGGTTTTCTGTTCTCATGTTAGTTTGCTGAGAATAATGGTTTCCAGCTTCATCCATGTCCCTGGAAAGGACATGAATTCATTCTTTTTTATGGCTGCATAGTATTCCATGGTATACATGTGCCACATTTTCTTTATCCAGTCTATCAATGATGGGCATTCGGGTTGGTTCCAAGTCTTTGCTATTGTGAACAGTGCTGAAATAAACATACATGTGCACGTGTCTTTACAGTAGAATGATTTATATTCCTTTGGGTATATGCCCAGTAATAGGATTGCTGGGTCGAATGGTATTTCGGGTTCTACATCCTTGAGGAATCGCCACACTGTCTTCCACAATGGTTGGACAAAGGATCAGTAACCAGAAATTAATAAGAATGTACCAAAAATGAGCAGCATAGCAGAAAAATTGGCCAAATACATACTGTACAGGTGATACAGGAGAAATACCTAGTGTTTCATAAACAAAAAATCATTAAAGCCCACTAATCACCTGAAAAAAATGCCAATTCAGCCAGCAGTAAGATATTTTCTGTTCAGAAAGTTACAAAATACAGTGAACTGTCTGAAAATGCTGGTATCTGGAAGGAGCTAGAGCACCTGGAATCACTATGCCTTGTTGATGGGAATATCAATTGGTTTAAAACTATGGTAGGAAACTTTGACCAGACCTAATCAAGATGAAGATGACTGGGCCATCAAGTTCACCTCTAGATATACATTCCAGAAAAATTCTCATCTCTGCTCACATCAGGTCTACCTCAGCAATGCTTTAAGGAGGGAAGATTTTCCCCATTTAAATTTCCCTATTTTGAGTGGGAAGAAAACTACAGTTATTCACAGGAGAACCAGTAACTAGATTATGTTAGAGGTCTAAAGACCAAACCATGAACTAATCTGTTTACATCAACAAAGGTGAAACTGAAATTTTAAGTGCAGAGTAGAAGTGTAAATCCATGAATTCATTATGCCATATGCCATTTATATAAGTTTTTAAAGCCTCCACAAATGCCATTTATTGTTTATCATCAAACAACACAGAGTACTAACTAGAGTAAAACTAGATTGGGAATTATACTCCTCAAGGTGAGAATAATAATAAATCATGGAGAGACATGTGATAGAAAAGGAGGCTGGGTACAGTGGCTCATGCCTGTAATCCCAGCACTTTGGGAGGCCAAGGGGGGCAGATCACTTGAGGTTGGGAGTTCAAGAGCAGCCTGACCAACATGGTGAAACCCCATCTCTACTAAAAATACAAAAATTAGCTGGGCATGGTGGCACATGCCTGTAATCCCAGCTACTCAGGAAGCTGAGGCAGGAGAATCGCTTGAACCCAGGAGGCGGAGGTTGCAGTGAGCCGAGATTGCACCGCTGCAATTCAGCCTGGGCGACAGAGCGAGACTCAAAGGAAGGAAGGAAAAAGAAAGGGAGGAAGGGAGGGAGGGAGGGAAAGGAGGAAAAGGAATCTCAACTGCTCCTGCAAGGTTAATTCTTATTTTAATTGTTATTATTATTTGCTCTAAAATCTATTACTGTAGCTATTTCTTATATTATAAAAAATCGGCATACACACTTTTGGATATTATATTATTTCTGCAGCCTTCTACATGTTTGAAACACTACAAACATATCAAAAGGTTTGGGACGCCATGACATGCATAGGGAAACTCTGGTAATTTTAAACCAGAAAGTAGTCAAAGATGCAAAGATTTGATAATTTAAGGTTTCAGGATATACAGGCACGTGTAAAAGGAGAAAAGAACACGTCAGTATCCATATAAGACCCAAAGTGTTTCAGACATTATTCCCATGGGAACAGCTCTCGAGGGAGATCTGCCATCTTCTCCTGGAACAGTTTATCAAAGGCTTCTGCTTGGAACACTGTGAAGTGATTTTTCCAGTCCCCAGTTATGCCTGCAAACATGAAACAGAGACTCAAGTCAGATGGAGGGATAGGTCTTAAGACCCCCTGGCCAGGTGTAGTGGTTCACGCCTGTAATCTCAGCAGTTTTGGAGGCCAAGGTAGGCAGATCACCTGAGGTCAGGAGTTCAAGACCAGCCTGGCCAACATGGCAGAACTCCAGCTCTACTAAAAATACAAAAATTAGCCATGTGTGGTGGCATGCACCTGTAGTCCCAGCTACTTGGGAGGCTGAGGCATGAGAATCACTTGAACCCAGGAGTTGCAGGTTGCAGTGAGCCCAGATTGCACCACTGCACTCCAGCCTGGGTGAGAGTGAAACTCCATCTCAAAAAAAAAAAAAACACAAAAAACAAACAAACAAGAAAACAACCTCAAAACACCTCTTTTGTCTGTTCCTGCTATGGACCTGATATTGACATTGTAGCTAACATAGAAGAATGACCAGTGGTTCATTGACGGACTCTTATTCTGCCTGGTAACATAAGATTTCTACCTACCTGGAAACAATTTCCTGCTTTCTCCTCTCTCCTAGCCCATCCTGTGCACAGTTCATCAGCAATAATGCCTGCGTATTTTCTGATGTGTGCAGAACCTAGCCATGTCTCACCACCTCTGTTTCTACCACCTTGACCGGAGCCAACATCACTTTTCACCTGGATTATTGCAGTACACTTGTAACTAACTGGTCTCTGTGTTTGATCATTCTCCTTCATAAGGTAGTCTCGGCATCACAGTCCTTTTCATGCCTCGAGAAGCTAGAGCAGATCGTGCCACTTCTCTGCTCAGATTCTTCAAGGACTCTTGGTTTTGCTCAGCAAAAGTGGTTGAGGCATTTACAGGGATCCAGAGGATTCGGTCGGTGGATCTCATTTCCTGTGACTCTGACCCCATTTCCTGTGACCACCCTCTCCATCACTCTACTCACACTGGGACTTCTGATTCTGCCTCAAACACAGCAGGCGTCCCCTCTCCTCAGACTACTGGCATCTCACGCTCCTTCTCCCTGGAGTGCTGCCGTCAGATTGGTTCAGGACTTGTCTGTTAGCCTCTTTTTTCTTTTCTTTTCTTTTCTTTTCTTTTTTTGAGATGAAATTTCGCTCTTGTTGCCCAGGCTGGAGTGCAATGGTGCAATCTCAGCTCACTGCAAGCTCCGCCTCCCGGTTTCAAATGATTCTCCTGCCTCAGCCTCCAAGTGGCTGGGATTGCAGGTGCCCACCGCCATGCCCAGTTCATGTTGTATTTTTAGTAGAGATGGGGTTTCACCATGTTGTTCAGGCTGGTCTCAAACTCCTGACCTCAGGTGATCTGCCCGTTTGGCCTCCCAAAGTGCTGGGATTACAGGCAAGAGCCACTGCACCTGGCCTGGTTTGCTTTTTTCAAGTCTTTGTTTCAATGCAAGTTCTCAGCGAGGCTCCCTTTCGCCACCCAATGTAGAGGTCACTCCCCACGCTTGCTGTATGTCACCTCATAGCACTTATCACGTAGGGCGGGCTCTTTGTGTTTATTTCCATTCTGTGGTTTACACGCGCGGCGTGTATCCCTAACATAAGTAACCTTCAGAAACGCACAACGTTTACTTTTTAAGATAGCCAAACACCCAGTGTTCCAAAGAGTGGCAGGCAGAGAGTAACTGCTCAATAAATACTTATTGAATGTATGAATAAAATAATCTAAAAAGTACTAATTTTTTCCTCCGTTTTACAGATGAAGGAAAATAAAGGCCTGAAGAGGTAACACAGTTAAATCAATGGACATGGATTTGAAGCCAAATATTTTGACACTAGAAACCATACTCACTTCCATGATTATATTATTATTTCATATATTACATAAATTAATGTTTACATATTGGCTTAAGTTAAAATATTAATAACGTAATGTAAATAGATTAATGTAATATAAATATAGAATTAATGTAATGTAAATATGAAGTGCCTTGGGCATTATTCCCATGGAAACAGCTCTCAAGTAAGATCTGCCATCTCCTCCTGGAATAGTTTATTGTATTAGTTAATAGATAAATATAGAATAATATGTATTTATAAATTTTATTTAAAACTATATAAACTATATACTTTTAATTTATGTGAATATAAATAATATATTAAATAGCAGAATGGCCAATATACGATTGATTGGTGCCTTGCAAACCACCTGTTCTTTCATGTTCTCTCTGTGCATACACATGTCTTTGTCCAAATTTCCTCTTCTCTAATTCCTCTTATTGGATTAGATTCCATCCAGAAACCCATTTTGACTTAAAAAAAAACTTATCAACTTTCCCCACGTGCCCGCAGCCCACACTGACATCATGAGAAGAAGCTCCTTGATGAGGCTTCGGGAGAAGTTATCTGAGTGATGAGAATTAAAGCTGATCAATTTAAACACTCTTTCATCTCAACTGTTAGGACCTGGCTGTAAGCACAGGCATGTGCACCATGTATTCTGGCAGATTTTGAAACCAGAGCATTTTCTTTTACCTTTTCGCATAAGTGGTAATTCCTTCTTTAAAAAAATACCATCCGTAAAGGAATAATTGGACATCTTGTTTTCTTTCATGGCCTGAAAGGAGCTGTTCTTGAGGATTAATGTCAGTTCTTCAGGTTCTAACGTCTTTCCCAGGAATTGACATATCTTCTCTACATTTTTTCTTGTGTCCTAAAAGAAGAAAAGACAAGAGCAAGGATGTAAAAGAGAAAGGTGACAGAAAAAATAAGGTGTAAAGGAGGGAACTGCAGAATGAGGAGGAAGAGGAAGGAGAGAGGAACAACGTGCAGACGTGAGAAGAGATTGAGTTGGATGCAACTAGGAGAAAGAAAGAAAAAAAAAACATAAAGAAGCCAGGGCACAAAGTATGTAAAAGATGCAAGAGTCGGCTGGGCGCCGTGGCTCACGCCTGTCATCCCTACACTTTGGGAGGCCGAGGCAGGCAGATCCCGAGGTCAGGAGTTCGAGACCTGCCTGGCCAATATGGTGAAACCCCATCTCTACTAAAAATACAAAAATTAGCCAGGCATGGTGGTGCACACCTGTAGTCCCAGCTACTTGGAAGGCTGAGGCAGAAGAATCACTTGAATCCAGGAGGCGGAGATTGCAGTGAGCCGACATCGCACCACTGTGCTCCAGCCTGGTGACAGAGCAAGACTCCATCTCAAAAAAAGTGGATTTCTTTGGATGGTTGAGTTTAGGACAACTTAAAAGTAAAAGACAACGCCTAGGGGTTTTTTTGTTTTGTTTTGTTTTAGAGATGGGGGTCTCACTCTGTCACTCAAACTGGAATGGTACAGTCAGTCATATCTCACTTCAACCTCGAACTCCTGGGCTCAAGGGATTCTCCTATGTCAGTGTCTCAAAGGGCTGGGATCATAGATGTGAGCCATCATGCCAGCCCCTAGGGCCCAACTCCTTTTTTCAATGGTTTAATCTCCCTAACTGGTTTTGAGCATCATCTGACAGCTTTTCCTCTGGGTCCCAAGTCACTCCCGTACTTGGCATCTCGGAATATTGATACAAATTGATTTCATGCTTTTATTTCTCTTCATATTTCTCTTCATGTCAGTCAAGCTGAGATGTCAGACATTTGGACCCGTCTTTGGAACTAAACCACTTCTACCCAGTCCCATCCTCCCCTTTCCCACCCCGAGCCCTCTGCTCACTAGGTTATCAGCAACACCATGGGTCCTGCCCAGATAAATTTTTACAAGCAATAGTACTAGCACAAAACATCATTCTCTCAATGCATGAAAAAGCTCTTTAGATGTTTTAAGATGAAGCACAGAGCATGAAGGTTAAGAAGGGTCAACCAGAAGCAAGGCAGTGAAGACCAGGGAGCTGATCTCACTCCTCAAGACTCTTCACCAAGCTACACTTTGAAAAGGTGGAATGGAGACACAGAGAAATGGAGGGAAGGTAGAGGAAGAGAAGGTGGTGGTGAGAGGTTGCACACTGACGGTGAACATAATGAGTACCTTCTTCAGCTCCTCGTAACTCAGTATCAGGAAGTTTTCCCTGTCTTTCATGGACATCCAACCATGAATGTGGTCAAACCATGACCCATATACCACTGCATGAGGGTGGCAGAAAGAGTGACAGGTTACAAACTCTGTGAGAGCAGGGATCTCATCTATTACGTTCACTCCCCACCCACCAGCTTGTCGAAGTGTAATTGACAAATAAAACTTGGATATATTTACAGTGTGTAACAGGATGTTTGGATATAGGCATGTGTTGTAAAATGACAGAATCAAGCTAATTGATTTATTCATTGCTTCACGTGCTTACCATTTTTGGGGCAGTGAACACATTTAAGGTATTTCAGCAACTGTCAAGTATGGAATACCTTATTATTGACTGTCAACATGCTGTACAATAGAGCCCCAGACCTTGTTGATCTCATCTAACTAAAAACACTATCTCCCTAATCCCGCTCCCTACCAAGCCCTTACTCTTATCGGCCACCATTCTACTCCCTCCTTCTAGGACTTCAACGTTTTAAGAGTCCACATATGGGCCGGGCGCGGTGGCTCAAGCCTGTAATCCCAGCACTATGGGAGGCTGAGGTGGGTGGATCACGAGGTCAAGAGATCGAGACCATCCTGGTCAACATGGTGAAACCCCGTCTCTACTAAAAATACAAAAAATTAGCTGGGCATGGTGGCGCGTGCCTGTAATCCCAGCTACTCAGAAGGCTGAGGCAGGAGAATTGCCTGAACCCGGGAGGCGGAGGTTGCAGTGAGCCGAGATCGCGCCATTGCACTCTAGCCTGGGTAACAAGAGTGAAACTCCATCTCAAAAAAAAAAAAAAAAAAAAAAAGAGTCCACATATGGCCAGGTGTGGTGGCTCATGTCTGTAATCCCAGCACTTTGGGAGGTCAAGTTGGGTGGATTGCCTGAGGTCAGGAGTTCCAGATCAGTCTGGCCAATATGGTGAAACCTGGTCTCTACTAAAAATACAAAAAACTTAGCTGGACATGGTGGTGTGCACTTGTAATCCCAGCTACTTGGGAGACTGAGGCAGGGGAATTGCTTGATCCAGGAAGGCGGAGGTTGCAGTAAGCCGAGATTGCACCACTGCACTCCAGCCTGGGAAACAGAGCAAGACTCTATCTCAAAAAAAAAAAAAAAAAAAAAAGAAAAAAGAAAGAAAAGAAAAAAGATTCCACATGTGAGATTAGACAGTTTTTGTCTTTCTGAGACTGGCTTCTCTCACTTAGTGTAATGTCCTCCAGGTTCACCCATGTTCTTGTAAATGACGGGTTTCCCTTCTTTCTTAAGGCTGAATAGGGCCGGGCGCAGTGGCTCAAGCCTGTAATCCCAGCACTCTGGGAGGCCGAGGCAGGTGGATCACGAGGTCAAGAGATCGAGACCATCCTGGTCAACATGGTGAAACCCCATCTCTACTAAAAATACAAAAAATTAGCTGGGCACGGTGGCGCATGTCTGTAATCCCAGCTACTCAGAAGGCTGAGGCAGGAGAATTGCCTGAACCCAGGAGGCGGAGGTTGCAGTGAGCCGAGATCGCGCCATTGCACTCCAGCCTGGGTAACAACAGCAAAACTCCGTCTCAAAAAAAAAAAAAAAAAAAAAAAAAAGGGCTGAATAGTATTCCATTATATACAGTCGGCATTCTGTATCCATGGGTTCTGCATGTGTAGCTTCAACCAACCGCAGGTGAAAAATACAGCATTCACAGGCTGCAGGAACCGGGGATTTTAAAGGGCTAAGTTTTCACACCTCTAGGTTCTGTCATTTTTTTTTTTTTTTTTTGAGATGGAGTCTTGCTCTGTCACCAGGCTGGAGTGCAATGGCACCATTTCGGCTCACCACACCCTCCACCTCCTGGGTTCAAGCAATTCTCCTGCCTCAGTCTCCTGAGTAGCTGAGATTACAGGCATGTGCCACCATGCCCAGCTAATTTTTTTGTATTTTTAGTAGAGACGGGGTTTCACCATGTTGACCAGGATGGTGTCGATCTCTTGACCTCGTGATCCACCCACCTCGGCCTCCCAAAGTGCTGGGATTACAGGCGTGAGCCACCATGCCTGGCAGGTGTGTGTATTAATTTGTTTATTCCCTGTGTCACCATATACACACGTTATCCTTTTGACTCATTCATTGTCAGAGCCCAGGTTCTAGTATACTTCTTACCATATAGAAAGCATTTGGTACACTTTTTTAAGATAATGAATGTCCATTTACCACCAGTTTATTCATCAGAGCCATTGTTACTTCTATTATTATTTTTATTATTAGAGACAGAGTTGTGCTCTGTTGCCCAGGCTGGAATATAGTGAAATGATCATAGCACACAGCGGCCTTAAACTCTTGGGCTCAGGTTCCCCTCCCACCTTAACCTCCCAAAGTGACAGGATTATAAGCTTGAGCCACTGGTCCCTGCCTGCCGTTACGTCTCACCTGGTTTAGCACAATGATCTCAGTGTTGGTGTCCTCATCTCGCATAGTCTTTGGCCCTCTAGGCTACATGGCAGTAATCCACTAATAGATTTTTTGTTAAGTTTATTTCGTTTTCAACCATCCCTGGACTGTTTGCCCTCAGCATAAAGTCCAATCTTCAAAGCCTGGCCATCGTAGTTCCTGCTGAGCTGACGCTAGCTGAACTCTTCAGCCCTATCTCCTGCCTTGCCCCAGGTTAGTCTTTCAGAAAAAAGGCCAACAGTGAAACCCTAGGTCGAAAGTCCCGACGTGAAGACAGAACTTCCTCATGAATGCTATACTTGATCTTGCCATCGGGTTTATAAAGCGGTCTGGATTGTGCTGTAGGCACCACCAGGAATCTTGGGAAGTCTAATCAATAGTGGTGGGTGATGAAGACGCATCCTGTAAACCTTCCTATCGTCTCAATATCTTGCCTACGTGTGCTTTAAAACTCATGCACAGCCGGGCACGGTGGCTCATGCCTATAATCCCCGCACTTTGGGAGGCTGAGGTGGGCAGATCATGAGGTCAGGAGTTTGAGATCAGCTTGGCCAACAGGGAGAAACCCTGTCTCTACTAAAAATACAAAAAGTAGCCAGGCATGGTGGTGCATACCTGTAATCCCAGCTGCTAGGGAGGCTGAGGCAGGAGAATCGCTTGAACCCAGGAGGCGGAGGTTGCAGTGACCCGAGATCACACCACTGCACTCCAGCCTGGGTGATAGATAGAGCAACAAGACTCTGTCTCAAAAAAAAAAAAAAAAAAAAAAAAAAAAAAAAAGGTAGACTTCCCTAAATGCAGAAGCGATGGCAGCAGCGCTGGGCCGTCAGTGGGACCCCAGTGCTCCACATCCCCAAAGCAGCAAACTGCACTATCCCAACGCTTGCATGGCTGAGTGGGACCCACTGCTGGCCCAGAGCCGCCGCCATTCTGAACCCTGGCCCCACATTGCCCCTATTACTTTCTGCTGCTGCCGGGAAGAGATGAACAGTCCCCAGAGCCTACCACCCTGGAGGTCACCACAATGGGGCCACCACAAGTTACCCACCAGCGGGGGAGCAGCATGATCAGGCATGGAGGGGCAGGCAGAGAGGGGTCCCGAGACAGAGCTGGGCCCAGGGTGGGGCCATGCTCCACAGAACCAATGGGAGCTGGGAGCAGGCAGCAGCCCCCTGCCCTCCTGGACATGACTGCAGCTGCCCAAGTTCGGACTGTGGACCTGGCCTCTCTGTGCTGTTGGAGGCTGGGAGCAGGCAGGAGCCCTGGTTTCCTGGGTGCAGCTGCAGCTATGCAGCTGTGGCTATGGACCCAGGCATCTCTCTGCACTCTTGGGGGCCTGGGAAGGCCCTCCTTGTCCCCCCAGGCTCGAGGATGTCTGCTCCCACTACCTGGCCTCTCCCTGCTGCCTATGCTCACTCTGATCTTGGAGTAAGGAGGCCAAACCTGGTCACTATTGCAGCCCTGACTAGTGTGTGCATGCTTGGGGCAGTGCCGACATGCTAACCCTCTGTCACCTCGGCCCCCTCCAGACTTTGTGCACTGATGAGCACGGAGAAAGGCTACAGGAGGCCTGAGGACAGCCCAGCACTGGCCTGCAGCCAGCCCTTGGGCACCATGAACAGCCCAGGAAGCAGATGGGCTCCTGGGCAGAAGCAGGCTGGTTCCTGTTGAGGCCCCACCTTCAAGCCAGGGAGGGGTGAAGCCTGGAGGCTGGGTGGACGGTCCAGAGGGAGAACTTGTGGTGTTTTTCCCTAGGCCCACCCATGGTCACTCATGAACCAATCAGCATGCACTTCTCCTCTGAGGCCCATAAAAACCCCATTCTCAGCCAGACTCGAAAGGATGGAGAGATGATGGGCTGGCCAGGAGCTATCCTCTCTGCTGAAGGCTGAAGGGATAACAGGATGACCAGCTGCAGAGAGGAGCTACCCTCCCAGCTGAGAGCTGAACACGTGCAGGGACGACCTGCCCAGCAGAGAGGAGCTACCGCCTGCAGACCCCCTCGGAGCTGTTCTGTTGCTCAGTAAAGCTCTTCTTCAGCTTGCTCACCCTCACTTGTCTGCCTCCCTCATTCTTCTTGGACGCAGAACCAGAACTCAGGACCCGCCGAATGGTGGGGCTAAAAGAGCTGCAACACAAACAGGGCTGACACACACTCCATGCTCACCACGTTGTGGGAGATGAGAAGAGAGAGAGGAGAGCTGCAGCCATTCAGGGAGATCAAACTTAGACGCTTCCCACGCCAGACCTGTGATACCTTCTCTAGGGCTGTGCAGTTCCTGACATCTCCAAGCTTCTGAGCACTGGGTGTCAGCTGTGGAAGCTGCTTATGGTATGCCTGGTGTAGCCACAGGCTTCTGGGGAGCCAGCACTCATACCAGTGCCCGGGCTGCCCATTCCACCGCAGCCAGCGTGCCCGGGGCTGCCCATTCCACCGCAGCCAGCATGCCTGGCTGTGCACGGTGGCTGGACCCTACGCTTCTCACATACTCCCCTCACTACTCCATGCCTGACTTGTCCTTCCAGCCGTGGGATCCAGGCTGGTAGTGCAAGCTGAGCGCAGCCTGCCAGGCCGAGTGGGCAGAATGAGTCCAGCAGGCCCAAGCAAAAATTGAGCAAAGGGACCACTGGCCACAGAGGTTTCAGGCTCATGACGTGACACCCCAGGGATCCCAGAACAGCAACAGGTGAGCGGAGACCAGAACAAAGACATTAACCAAGGCGGTAGGATGCGATTAACTAGATAAAAGTGGTGAGGGGCGCAGAGGAACGGGACAGGAAAAAGAGGATGCTTGGGAAGTGACAGAATCACTGTAGCTCTTGGGCGAGAGGTGGAGTGGAAATAGCGTGGGGTATGGAAGAAAACTGGATTCAGATTTGAACATACTGAATTAGAGCTGTCTGTAGCTGTTTCCAGTGAAGGCATCTGTAACTGCCAGAGAGGGGAAGACGTTTCACAGCTGAGACAGAAACTTGTCCTATCGTTTTCAGAAAAATTGCAAACTTAAAAATCCTTTAAAAAATTCCCAGAAATTCTGCATTATTAAACAATAGAGATCCAGGGATCATTAAACAAACAAACAAACAAACAAAAAAAAAGAACCACTTTTGAGACAGAAATAGAATGTTAAGGGAGTTTTGGAAAAAGGTATCCCAGAAAAAAATGATGGAAGGTCAAGATTGGGTTGTCCAGGAAGCCAGTGAGAAGGCTACTTTCCAAAAGCTGCAAATTAGGGGGTGAAGGACACGAGGAGTTGTCTGTGCTGGTGTTAGAGGATCTAGAGGTGCAGAAAATAGCTGGGACGGTTCATCATGGCGCAGGCTGAGGGGTTGGCTAGACTTCTGCTGCTATATGGGAGAGTAAGTAGACGCAGTAGATTTGGGCTCCAGTGGTGATGGGTCGTTAGAAGGATCGTTTGGGGAAATGTACAGATAAGAGGTTTGGTGTCAAACGAGGTCTGATAAAGGACTCCGAACACCTCCTGTGTTTCCGTATTTTACAAAATACTCACCATTTCCTTGGCAGAACCATTCAAAATATTCTTCTAGTGACTTTGGTTTCTTACACGTTGACACCAAATTCCAGAAAAAATAACCAGACACAAGAACATCTCTGGGATTTCTGATGACATAAATCACCTTCCATGGAAAAACGGGAGAATGAAAAATCACTACACTTTCTGATCTTCATAAACATGGAGAGAAATCCAATTGCTAGACGATGTCTCTTAAAGCTCAGTGGATTCCTCTAACAGGTTGCTCACTGCTTTCATTGATCAAAGATGAAATTCTAAGTGCCTATGAAGCAGTCGCTGTGCTAGGGATATAGCAATGGAACAAGGAAGCATTATCCCTTCCCTCTGGGATAGCACAGTCCACTCACAATGAGAAGCAACCGGAAGGTTTTCGAAAGTGAGTGGTGTTGTATTCGTGTATTGTAGTTTAAAGATCTTTAACAAGAGAATGGATTCATACCGTATGCTACATTCATAGATATGTATGTCAATATATATCCATGTGTATGCCCAAGACCATGGGTAAGTCCCATAGACATTACTTTGAAAAAAGCCAGACACCCAGTGGCTCATACAGCATTGAGTCCATTTATCTGAAATTCAGTAACAAACCAAACTCACCTACAGCTATGAGTCAGGGGGAGTGTCTGCTTCTCACATCGAAGGAGAAGGGGGATGAGGCACTGGAAATGTTCTAACTTTGGATCTAAACGATGGTTGCCCAGTGTGTACATATGCAAATATTCATCAAGCTTATACTTAAGGATACTGCACACAGGGCTGGCGTGGTGGCTCATGCCTGTAACCCCAACACTTTGGGAGGTGTAGGCAGGTCAGGAGATTCTGGCCAACATGGTAAAATCCTGTCTCTATTAAAAGTAACAAAAACTAGCTGGGCATGGCGGCATGCGCCTGTAATCCCAGCTACTTGGGAGTCTGAGGCAGGAGAATCGCTTGAACCAGGGAGTTGGAGGTTGCAGTGAGCCGAGGTCGCGGCACTGCACTCCAGCGTGGTGACAGAGCAAGACTCCATCTCAAAAAAAAACAAACAAACAAAACAAAACTGCACACAGACAGAAGCACAGACTCATGCACACACTCACGTGCACATACACACAAGGTTACTTGGCATCTAAGCGTGTGAATTTCACTTTGCATTCCTTACCATCTCTTTGTGACATGTTCTAGGCCTTACCGCTCTTGAAGCCTCCGTTTTGACAGCCAGAAATTTACCAAACACCAGTAAGACCCATGTAAAGAGATGTATTATCACGAATTCATGGTGCTGCTACACATTTTACGATTTCAAAAAGAGGAGAACATCGTTCCAAGTTTCTCCATTTCATTTAAGCAGGGAAACATTTAAAAAGAAATTCACACACGAATCAATGCCTTCCAGGAAAGTGTGTTCCTAAAAACAGTCCGAGCTACGCTAGATCCTGGAGATGCCTTTCCCCTCTGGTGATCACCTCTCAGCCCCATGGGAGACGCCTGTGGCTGCTGATAGAAACACTTAGCTACACACAGTGAGAAGCAGTGGGTACAGAGTCCAGACATGGCGCCAGAGCGGTCACCCTGGGTTCAGGCATTGATTGATGAATGTGCTGTTTCCCATCGGAACACCTCTGTGTGTCCTAAGTGGCAGGAGGCACTTGTTGAATTCAGATTGGTTGGCCAGGCGCGGTGGCTCATGCCTATAATTCCAGCACTTTGGAAGGCGGAGGCATGTGGATCATGAGGTCAGGAGTTCAAGACCAGCCTGGCCAACATGGCGAAACCCCATCTCTACTAAAAATACATAAATTAGTCGGGCATGGTGGCATGTGCCTGTAATCCCAGTTACTCAGGAGGCTGAGGCGGGAGAATTGCTTGATCCCAGGAGTGGAGGTTGCAGAGAGCCGAGATCGCGCCACTGCACTCCAGTCTGGGCGACAGAGTAAGATTCCATCTCCCAAAAAAAAAAAAAAAAATTGGCTAATTATTTTTAGAACAACAAAAGGGGATTCGCTGGTATAATACAGCTGTGGGTTCTGGTTGGACTTGGAACCTGGTTTTCTAAAATTCTGGCATTATCATTTCACCCTGTCCCTGGTGTAAATCTGGCTGGGATAAACTGTGGAGTGCTCTACACCAGGCGTCCCCACACTTTTTACACAGGGGGCCAGTTCACCGTCCCTCAGACCGTTGGAGGGCCGCCACATACTGTGCTCCTCTCACTGACCACCAATGAAAGAGGTGCCCCTTCCTGAAGTGCGGCCGGGGGCCGGATAAATGGCCTCAGGGGGCCGCATGCGGCCCGCGGGCCGTAGTTTGGGGACGCCTGCTCTACACCCTTGAACTCAAGGAAGGTCCCTGGAGCAGCCACATAGGTGTCACCTGATGCAGAATCTTCAGCTTCAACACAGACCCACTGAAGTAGAATGCATTTCAGCAGGATCTCCAAGTGACTTACAGGCACATCAGCATTTGAAAAGCATTGATCCAACAGGTATGAACCATGACGCACTGACCTTGGCCTTGGAACTGAAGGCAGACTTGGGGAATAACTGGATGGGGAGGTGGGAGCTGATGAGACGTGGGCCCTCCTTCTTACTTAGTAATTGATAGCCAAAATTAGTCTCTACCCAGGGTGAGCGCTCCCAGATGGGCACAGATTGGATCCACTTGGGATCCCCCTTGGAGTGAATCAGGCAGAGAATCTCAACCAACCAGTTTGTTCCTGGATGACAACAGAGAGAAAAAAAGCAATATGACTTTTTCAAAAATGAAATTACACATAATGTAAAATGTACCATCTCAAGTTCTCTTAGGAATACAGTTTAGGTAGAGTTAAGTGTGGAAGTAGAAAAATTGCCTTTCTCGTTAAATCATAAGTGTGCTAAAAACTTCGTTAAGCCCTAGCCTATGTAGCTGTTAGACATGCCATGCTTACAGGCACGTAGTACATTCTATGTCCTTGTACTTTAACCAGGATACCTGTGTTGGACGTGCTCACAGGCATGTCCCAGCTCTCCATTGCTTTTCAAAACATTTCAAATTATTAGCCAATTGGGTTTTAGTTTAGATTGTGAGGTCTGGCTCCAGTCAATGGGGATCAGACACAGCAGTGAGGACGACCCCAAATGCGTAAGGGATCAGTGTGTGTGTTTTCCCTTTGTGTGTACTCTTGTGGCAAGATGGTACCTCCCTGCATTCCAGGAAGCAGAAATTTCCTTGCTGAAAAATCCTTTGTCTCAGTGCTAATTGTTCTTTGCAGCGCTGAGCATCTATTTCCAACATCTATTTCCAACAAAGTGTTAAACATATTCCCATTGCTGCTCCACCAATCTCCAGAGAATTTTCATCTTGCAAAACTGAAAGTCTGTGATGAACCAGCATCAACTTCCTATTTACCCTTCTCTCTAGGCCCTGACAACCACCACTCTACTTGTCATTTCTATGAACTAGACAACTCTAGGTTTGTGATGTAAGTGATATCATACAGCATTTGTATTTTCGTGACTGGCTAATTTCATTTAGCACAATGTCCTCAAGGTCCATGGGTGTTGTGGCATGCATCAGAATTTCCTTCCTTCTCAAGGATGAATCACATTCCACTGTATCTGCTTATCACATCTTGTTTCTCCACTCACTCGTCAATGGATATCTGGGTTGTTTCCACCATTTGGCTGCTTGCTGAAATCCTCTTAGAAAGTTCCCATCGTTCTTGGTCTCTCAGGGCATGCCACTTCCAATGTCTTTAGCCTCAATCCTCACCCCATCTGCAGTGCTCTTACCAGCCCCCCGCCCCAGAGCCCCACTCCATAGACATAAAATCCTCCCCTTTCAGCCCCTTAAGCTTGTCAGGCTGTTTTCCAATTCCTGACCATCATCCACGATGATTCTCCTTTCAGAAAAGTATTCCCGTCCACCAAGTCATTTCACATTCGTTCTTTCCATTTCAATGTAAATGCTATTTCTTTTCTTCCTTTCTTTTCCTTTCTTTTCTTTCTTTCTTTTTTTTTTTTTTTTTTTTTTTGTTGTTGTTGTTGTTGTTTTGAGACAGAGTCTCGCTTTGTTGCCAGGCGCCAGGCTGGAGTGCAATGGCACGATCTCGGCTCACCACAACCTCCGCCTCCTGGGTTCAGGCAATTCTCCTGCCTCAGCCTCCCGAGTAGCTGGGATTACAGGCACGCGCCACCATGCCCAGCTGATTTTTTGTATTTTTAGTAGAGACGGGGTTTCACCATGTTGACCAGGATGGTCTCGATCTCTTGACTTCGTGATCCGCCCGCCTCGGCCTCACAAAGTGCTGGGATTACAGGCTTGAGCTACTGCACCCGGCCGATGCTATTTCTTCTTTTAGGAGATCACTGGCCATCTGCAGCCATCCTCTCTCCCACCACCCACAAACAAGCACCAGAATCTGCCTTAGGATTCACTCCTGTAGATTCTCCTAATACCTTAGATTAGCCCTCTGCACACTCATCTTACTGTGTAATTTCCTGACTCAATCCTTTTCTTCGATTGTCAATGGTATTAGGCGTTCCTCCCTTCCCCACAAAGCAATGTTCACTGTCCGGCATAGAGAAAGCACTCCAACCATCTACTGAATGGATGAGGAACCCAACCACAGCCCTCTCCTGTCCACGATTCTGCCTCCTTACCTGATTTGGGGTAAGTCACTGTGAGGACATCTTCAGCCTTTATTACAAAGTCATCACGTAATTCTCTTAGGGTTTCAGGACTGAAGTCGTTAAAGAAAGGTACTCCTTCAAACCATAAGTAGTTATCTGCCATGGTGATGAGCCCTTTCTGAGCGGTACGGTTCCAGCTATGGCCACCACTGCAGATTGTGGAAGCTGCAACCAGATCAGATTTTATGGCAGAAATCAAACCCTCAGTCACATGGCCCCAGCATGTCACATGTTTGTGGTGACTTTTTTTTACCTGTTTAAAACAAAGTAAATATTGTGACTGATATTGATGCTATTGAGTAATTGTGAAGTGTATTTAGAGATATTGATGCTATTGAGTAATTGTGAAGTGTAGAGATATTGATGCTATTGAGTAATCGTGAAGTGTATTTAGAAAACATTCCAGGGGTTGATCTGAGTTTGAGTTTCAGGGAGCGGAATGGAGATTGAACCACAAACACAAGGAAATAGAAATGTGTGCGTATTTAAACAACTGTTTGTTTCAGGATTTTGTGCTAATAATGTATTGAACAGAAGTCTGTACAAAGGCAAACCTTGCTTTGGAAACAAAGAGTTCTCTTGCGTCTCCTGACCCTCCAGGGTTGGGTGAGGTAAGAGGAGACCTTGAGGGCAAAGGGCAGATGGGGAAAACAGCCGTAAGAGGGAATGGGACCAGGGAATGGAAGAGGAGACAGAGGCTGGGATGGTTCTATTTATGAGGAACACAGGAGGGGGCAGGTTGCGGGAGGTGGAGGCCTGCAGGAGGGGAGAGGGTTATGGGGGTAGGTCCTGATGCTCCACCCTGCTTGTAGTCCTCCTCCCTCCCCGTGACCAGTTAAAATTCTCTTAAAAATCCCACCACATTGATTTGTAGTAGCTTTTTTTTTTTTTTTTTTTTTTTTTTTGAGACGGAGTTTCGCTCTTGTTACCCAGGCTGGAGTGCAATGGCGCGATCTTGGCTCACCGCAACCTCCGCCTCCTGGGTTCAAGCAATTCTCCTGTCTCAGCCTCCTGAGTAGCTGGGATTACAGGCACCTGCCACCATGCCCAGCTAATTTTTTGTATTTTTAGTAGAGATGGGGTTTCACCATGTTGACCAGGATGGTCTCGATCTCTTGATCTTGTGATCCACCCGCCTCGGCCTCCCAAAGTGCTGGGATTACAGGCTTGAGCCACCACGCCCGGCCTGTAGTAGCTTTAAAAGAAGTAAAAACAAATACAAATTTAAAAAAAAAATTTTTTTTTTAAATCCCACCACAGGGGTTGAGGCTGGTGAGAGAGGAACTGGAGGTGGGGACAGGAACTCATTTACCTCTGCCTCCTAGTCTTGCTGCAGAATTTTAGAGACTGGAGAGACCGTTAAGTTTGCAGAAGGAGTTTATTTTAGGTGTACACCGGCCCAGCTGAGATTCAGATCAGAAATGGCTGAGCCCTCAACAAAGACAGGGCTTGGCCTTTTATACATGAAGTATACAGTGGCGCCAAAACAAGTTTGCAGGTGTCGAACGAAGGAATTTATGAAGCCATGACACGTACATGACTTAGGCTTACATATGACTGCTGCTGTGTGACCCAGATGTTCGCTCTCTGTAGAGCTCAAGGATTCTAGCACGGGCCTTATCTATCGCCTTCTGCCACAGTGCCCAGAAGGTGGGGCTCCAGCCTGCTTGGGCATTTCTTATGACCTTCGCTGTGTTACAGAAAGTTACAGTTATCAGCTATAGAGAAGAAGAATGCAAGAATGTATAAACGTATAAAACTTGCTGAGCAGGATACGATTCCACGGGATGGGGAAGGACTCAGGGAAGTTTGCTTATAAAAGAACATTTTAATTTCTCCTTCTCTTTCCTTCATCAATTTTAATTTTATCTGATGTTTTCTCAATGTTTCTTTTCCCTCTTCAGTCTAGGGGCCCAGCCAGGGCAGAAGCTTGATGGCCTATGCCCCCCCTTTCCCAGTGCCACTTGGGGCTCCCACATGGAACTGGTAGGTGGGGCCCTCAGGAGCTTTTAGTGAGTGTAGGTGTTCCATGGGGCGACTGCCAGTCTCAGCAGAACGGAAGCGTTTGCCGTTAGAGATCCCCTTCCCCTGCCCCTCACAAAGGACAGAAATTCTTTTGTAATAGGTGCTACATGGAAAGTTGCAAGCTTCAACCTGGGCAATACGACGACCTCCTCTTTACCAACAATTTAAAAAATAGCCAGGTGTGGTGGTGCCCGACTGTAGTCCCAGCTCCTCAGGAGGCTGAGGTGGGAGAGTCCATGAGCCTGGGAGGTTGAGGCTGCAGTGAGCTGCGATGGTGCCACTGCACTCCAGCCTGGTGTCAGAGCAAGACTCTCTCAAAAAAACAAAAAAAAACAAAATAAACCCAATTACTATCCATTTTTTCCTATTAAATCCTGAGTTGGGTCAATAGATTGGGCATGTGTGTGTCAAACCATGTGCTGACGATAGATAAATGTAAATCTCACTCATTTGTTGACCCTTTTGTACTTCTGAGGGCATAAGATGAGAAAACAAGCCGCATCAATAATTATCAGAGATGAGTGGAGTTTAGCCGGCAGAGAGCTGGGGGTGCACACGTGTGCGGTCTAGGACACAGACCGCTCTAACATCGAGGTCAGATGGTTAAACTTTACCAAACACTCTAGTGTTTCAAAAACTTTGTTTTATTCTTTACTATTACCAAATAACTTTAGACATTGATCCTAAGTATGATACCGTGACTGACAGATAATTATAAAGAACATTATGAACACTTTACATGTACCACACCATTAAATCCTCAGAATGATTGCACGAGATGAATTAGAGAGGCGTAGACCTCACCTGCTTCACACCCTGTAAAGACGAAGACACTGGAGAAAGCTGTTCAGTTAGCCAGTAATTGGAAGGGACATACATCCAGTCCCTTGACAATGCACTCTGTGATCTATACTAGATTATAGCTCTCCCCAGGTGTCAAGTCAGTCCATGCTCTGTAATGGACTATTGTTATCCCAGGAGATACCTGAGTCCATGCTGTGCAATGAATTAGACAGAGTTACCTCAGTTGCTCTGTATTGGACTACACTTAGTCTAGGTGATACCTGAGTCCATGCTCCATAATCGACTACGGTTACCCCAGGTGAAACCTCAGTCCGAGCTCCATCATCGACTATGGTTACCCCAGGTGATACCTACCTGAGTCCGTGCTCTGTAATCAACTACAATTACCCCAGGGGAAACCTGAGTCCGTGCTCCGTAATCGACTATGGTTACCCCAGGTGAAACCTCAGTCCGTGCTCCATCATCGACTATGGTTACCCCAGGTGATACCCGAGTCCGTGCTCTGTAATCAACTACAATTACCCCAGGGGAAATCTGAGTCCGTGCTCCGTTATGGACTATGGTTACCCCAGGTGATATCCGAGTGCGTGCTCTGTAATCGACTAAAATTACCCCAGGTGAAACCTGAGTCCATGCTCCATAATCGACTTCTGATCTCAAGTGTTTATTTCAGGGCATAAACTTCCGTGTATCACGAATTCTGTAAGCTAATAAGCAAATCAAGCTTACATGTGTTTAATTAGCAATCGTAGAAACAGCATATGTCTGCCCCTGGTCATCTGGGCCCACAGTCTTCCATACATTTTGATATGCTGTGTTTTCATTTCTCTTCAGTTAATAGGACTTTGTAATTTCTAATTACTTCTTTGACCCATAGGCTATTCAGATATTTGGTGTTTATCTTTAAAGTGCTTCCGGAGAAACCAGCTCTGCCAACACCTTGATCTTGGACTCCTAGGTTCCAGACATGTTAGAAAATAAATTCCTGTTGTTTAATTCCACCCAATCCTTGGTACTTTCTTACAGCCACGCCCTAGAGGGACGAAACGGCCCTCCCTGCCCTCCCTGCCCCCACTGCTCGCCGGAATCCAGGACTGGGGCTTGGGCGCGCGCGCGGCGGAGCTGGGGCGTGGGGATCGGGCGCAGAGGCTGGGGCTCCCAATGCTCGGAGATTCAGCTTCCGGACGGCTCCTGCAGCCCGGGATCTCCCCGAGTCAAGACTGCAGGGGTTCTCCTGGTTTCCTTTCCCCTGTGGAGGAGGTCGCAGGCTGGAGGGGTTTCCTCCTGGTCCGGAGCAGCGCCAACCTGGAAGTCAGACGCCCTCTGCGTTTTCACCCAGGCCGCCTCGGCCTGCGAGCCCTGCTCGGTTGCTCCAGCGTTTTCTCCTGTTCCAGAGCTCACCCAAGCTATTTTCATCCGTCAGATCACGCGGAGGGCTGAGACTTTCCCGGCTGCCTTACTGATGTCACCCTTCTGTCATTCGGCACCTGAGACCAGTATTCAAAAAAAGAATGTTGTGGTTCTATAACTACGTTGGAGATGAATATTCCTCAAAACAGATTCGCTGGCCGGGCGCGGGGGCTCACGCCTGTCATCCCAGCGCTTTGAGAGGTCGAGGCAGGTGGATCACCTGAGGTCGGGAGTTTGAGACCAGCCTGACCAACGTGGAGAACCCCCGTCTCTACTAAAAATACAAAATTAGCGGGGCGTGGTGGCGCATGCCTGTGATCCCAGCTACTCGGGAGGATCGCTTGAACCCAGGAAGCGGAGGTTGCGGTGAGCCAAGATCGCGCCGTTCCAGTCCAGCCTGGGCAACAGGGAGATTCTCTTTAAAAAAATGAACAAAAAAGGCTTTGCAGACGCTGCGGCCGCCAGGAGCCCTGTACTACCAGCCATGGTCGGCCCCACCGTGTTCTTCGACATCCCCGCTGACAGCGAGCCCTTGGGCCCGGTCTCCTGCAAGCTGTTTGCAGGCAAGTTTCCAAAGACCCCAGAAAATGTTCGTGCTCTGAGCACCGGACAGGATTTGGTTGTGAGAGTTCCTGCTTTCACAGAATTACTCCGGGGTTTATGTGTCAGGGTGGTGGCTTCACACGCCATAATGACACTGGTGGCCAGTCCAACTATGGGGAGAACTTTGACGATGACTTCATCCTGAAGCATACAGGTCCTGACGTCGCCCGTGGCAAGTGCTGGACCCAACACAGACGGTTCCGAGTGTTTCATCTGCGCTGCCGAGACTGGGTGGCTGGATGGCACGCGTGTGGCCCTTGGCATGGTAAAGGAAGGCATGAACACTGCGGAGGCCATGGATCGCTTTGGGTCCGGGTATGGCGAGACCAGCCAGAAGA